ATAGGAACACAGTGTAGTTACAATGGATATGGAAGTTGTATAATGGGTATTCAGTTTTGCAAGCTGGAAAGAGTTAAGGACATTAGATACTCAATGACATGAAAAAAATTAACATTTAGAAATAGCTAAAATGCCCATTTTTTGTTATGTGTATTTTTCCACAATTACAAGTTTTTAAAAACACAAGTTTCTAGGACCCACTTCCTGATAGAATGGACCAGAACTTCTAATGATGAACCTAGGGAATTAGTATTTCTATCAAGCAGCCAAGTGGATTTGGACATACTATCTGGTCTGAAATTCACTTCCCTAGGAATAAACTCTCTGTCTTCTGAATCAATTAGATTCTAGCATTTCCGATCAAAGGCATATATGCCCTACTGAGGAACACATTCCCAAGGTGCTATACAATAGACCGTTTCCACAGCAATTATTTATATAGCAATTTCATTCCAAAAAGGGCTTATTTATTGATCCAGTGATCACTGTTCTCCAAAGCATAGAGCAAATTACAAGCATTGCTCAGGTACCACACAGAAAAACTGATCAGATCAATTATTCAGAAAAGATCCAATCATTAGATGCTGGTGGCTCATTCCTATAATCCTAGCTACTTGGGAGACTGAGATCCAGAGGGTCACAGATCCAGAGGCAAGTTTGGGGAAATAGCTCAAGAGACCCCATCTTCAAAATAAACAGAACAAAATGGATTGGAAGTGCTGCTCAAGTGGTAGAGTGCTTTATAAGCACAAAGCCCTGAATTCAAAACCCAGTCCCACCATAAGACTGAACAAATTTAAAAAAAAACACAATAGACCAAATATAATGTAAGGAATAAAAAACCTTTCGATAGATACTTAGTAATCACAAGTGAATTTCTCTTGCTCAGAAAGCTCATACATCAGTTCTGATGTCCACATAGCCCAAGGAGACTAAAGGCTGCTTCTTGCCAGGTAATCTCACCCACTACTCCACTTCTGAGCCTAAGACCAGCTTACTTAGCCTTTTCTTTCTACAATCCCTAATTCTGCAAAGGCTGCTTTTTAGTATTATGTAATTTTAAATGTTGACAAAATACTTGATTATTATAATCAATATTATCTTGATAGATACTGGCACAAACTAAAATTAGATAAGAGATCAATTCAATATTGAGATTTATGAAGGAAAAAAAGATGTCTTTGGTAAATAATCTTCTTTAGAACCAAAATCAAATTAAAACATTAGCCAGATGCTGTGGTGCACACTTATAATCCCAGTCCTTGGGAGAAGGAGGTAGGGGGATCATGAGTTCAAAGCCAGCCTAAAGACTGGAGGTGTGACTCAAGCAGCAGAGAATCTGCCTTCCAAGTATGAGGCCCTGAGTTCAAACCCCAGTCCCACTAACAACAACAAAAGAAAGCATATGACAAAGCTAGCCTAAGCTACATAGCAAGACCTTGTCTCAAAAATAAAAATAAATAAATAAAAATAATAAAACCTTAAAACTTCAGATAACACTAGATTCTCTATTTTATTTAACCAAAGAGCAGATATATTCCCTTAAAAACTATAAATTTTACACAAGTTTTTAAAAATGCTTCCTATTAAATAAGAACTAAGATAATGAATGATATAAACAAAATATTTTGAAATCACAGAAGTTCTTTAATTTTAAAGAAAATTATGTACATGGATTACAAACCTGGGCTGTGTACAGTCAAGCAAACTCAAGACAATTTTTATATGGGTTAAATAAAAACCATATTGGTTGGCATATAGTTATAAATTAAGTTAAGCTCATTGTGGATACAAATAAGCCTAATTTAATCTAAGTATTTTATTCATTAAAAATTTCCATTAGTTTGATGTTCACATGGAAAGTTACTTTTTTTTCCTACTCACACTGAGTAGTCTGAATTATGAAACGCTGATAGGTGAATTGAGAGCAACCAATATGATGTTTTTTTAAGCTAAATTGCTATGAAACTCTAACTAAAACCTCATGTGAAAGAATGTCTTAATTCTATTCTGATTGAAACAGTCTATGATTTCCAAAATATACAACCTAAAAATCTCATGTTTCTCAAAAATCTTACAAATTCACTATATTTACATAGTAATTTCAAAGATAGTAAAAGCTAGAAATTACAGCCACAGCTGTAATTTGTAATTACTAGAAAACTAGTAATTTTCATTTCATATACCCGTTTTTATTTAATAATGTCAAGATATGAAAACTAATTTTACGTAACTACAAAGAATTACAAATCATTGGATGTCCATATTCACTAACCTTCAACATAAATTTTATAAAACGATGTATCTGTTGGATACAAGATCAGATAAAAGTTAGATAAAAGGTCCACTAACTGGTAAACGCATTGAGAGATTCATGTAATCAAGTATTATTTAGTAATAACAAAAATGAACCTTAGCTTAATTTCATCTGGCTGGCTGAATTTTAAAGTTTTTGAGCAAAAGAAATAGGTCATGGAATCATTCATACAATATGATTCCATTTATATAAAATTCACAATGTGAAAACTAAACAGTAAAAAAATGACTAACACTCTGAGGGAGAGATGTGAATGCAAAGAAGTGGCACAGCAGAAGTCAAATGTCTGCGTGATAGTCTGTGGTTCACCATTGAGGGAGTGGTGAGTGATCTGAATTGGCTGGAGGGAACAGGACACAAGGCACATCTCAGAGACTGGCCTTTGAAAGGAGGGCTATTGCCTGATTCAATGAAAGAAAGGACAGGATGCAAACAGTGCACCTGAGGGATGATGTGCTAATTTGTTTCTCTCAAATGAATTAAGGTTATTTGAAGAGCCAGATTTAGTTTTGAGAACATGTGAAGACATGAAATGACCATTTTAGACAGAGAACAAAGTGGCCACAAATAAATGCAGGCAAATTGGAGCATTTCACCTTCCCTGCAGTCCTGGTCTCTGCCTAGAACGTAATGCCCCTTCCCTCGCCTAGAAAATCTTAACTTGCATCTCAGGCTCTATGTCCTCTGTGAAATCTTTTCTGACTACTCCATAGAAATCCTTTCCTTTTAAATTTTATAGCATTTGGCTATATCACTTTTCATACACTCTTACAGTAACTCTTCTGTATTGCACATGATTTTTTATGCATTCTCTTCTTTTTACCAGTTTGGTTGACTGGGTTTTTTTTTTTTAAACAGTCTGTGTAGCTCAGGCTAGCCTAGAATTTTCGATCCTCCTGGGGTTTTTTTGTTTGCTTTTTGTCATGCACATAGTGAACTTTTACTTTTTTATTATTTTTTCTTTTATTCATATGTGCATATAATGTTTGGGTCATTTCTCCCCCTTCCCCCCTGCCCCCTCCTTTACCTACCCCGCCCCTTCCCTCTCCCCTCCTACTCCCTTGCTACCAGGCAGAACATAGAGAACTTTTAGATGTATTTTCTAAATATAGCTATTATCTTTAAATGATACAATAATGCATATATAAATATGTGTAGAACTTTTAATCTTTCATTATTTTCTGAGAAACTGTTCCTAGTTTTCCATTTTTGGCTTCAGAACTTATATTTTAGAAGCTTAGTCAGAGATCTGATGTTAACATATAATGAATTCAATTTAAAATTTAAAAAAAAATTGGTCCTGCTTATTAAACTATCAAAATTAAACTATTTTCATCATCACAACTTTTTTTTTCTTTTATTATTCATATGTGCATACAAGGCTTGGTTCATTTCTCCCCCCTGCCCCCACCCCCTCCCTTACCACCCACTCCAGCCCCCTCCCTCTCCCCCCCACCCCCTCAATACCCAGCAGAAACTATTTTGCCCTTATCTCTAATTTTGTTGTAGAGAGAGTATAAGCAATAATAGGAAGGAACAAGGGGTTTTGCTGGTTGAGATAAGGATAGCTATACAGGGCATTGACTCACATTGATTTCCTGTGCGTGGGTGTTACCTTCTAGGTTAATTCTTTTTGATCTAACCTTTTCTCTAGTTCCTGGTCCCCTTTTCCTATTGGCCTCAGTTGCTTTAAGGTATCTGCTTTTAATATTATTTCTTCATGGAGGTAGTTCTCCCAGAAACTGAAGGAGATTGGTACCAGCAGACATTATGTTAGGAATGCCACCTTGTGGTCAGGAGTAGACTACTACACTAACAAGTCCTTCCAGTGGCAACTTTTAATTCAGAAATAAAACATCCAGTAAATTCACAAATATAAATCATAAAGTCTACTGCTACCACATAGGAATACAAATTAAATATGTCTGCATGGGGGTAGGTGCCAAAGAGTCCATGGAAAAGAGAGACAATAGACAAACTAAATAGGAAGGGACTTCAAATACTACAGGAGTAAACAACTGTATGCAAACATACAACTATTATGTTATATAAATGTACTTTTATTAAGACTAATTAAACACTCTTAATTTTGGAAAACCTTTCTCTTGGAAATAGGCAAATTTATTTTTATATCCATGACTGTTGCATCCTAAATTTAAACATTGTCTGGATTTTCAAACTTCATCACCCTAACTATAAACCTTTAAAGTGAAGGCACTATTAGCTATCTAATTTGGACAGTGTGGGAAACACATAATTACAGTCCAAAAAAAGAGTTTGAAAAGGGTTAAAATACTGGCCCTACTCTTAATAGATGAGCTTATTACCTCTTCCACACAAGTTAGTTATTTTGAGTAGTCAATTAAGTTTCAAGTCAATAATGGTTATATAGATGTAGTACTTAAAGATTATGGTTAGATGTTTTTAATAGTCAAATTGATCAGATATTTTTGGTCTGCTTAAAAGTGGGGGTGAAGGAGAATATATCCCTCATGCACACAAAGCAAAGCATGATAGCACAAGGTTCCATGCACTATGCTGCAATTTGTCATTTCTACAGTGAGGATCTTAGGAGGTACAGCACAGGTACAACCATCAGTACTAGAGATAAGGGTGTTGAATTTCCAAAAGTTAACAGATACACATACAGACATTTACATATGAACAAAATGCTATTGTGCTCCAAATCAACTTTCGGTATTATTGCATGCATATCACCAGGAAAAATATTCTACTCAGAAAACTTTACTATGAATTGATTTTGGATTCGTTTTTCCACATGACTCTTCAGGACATTCAAGTCAGCTGCACAAACCTGGTACTCCATCTTCTCTTGCTGTTTCATTCTCTCTAATAAAGCCCCATGTGGTGGAGGTAATGCATTGTATGAACCCAGTAAATAAAGCTGACTTGATGAAGTTTGGTTGATTTCTTCAATCTTTAAAGCCTGCATGACAGCAGGTGCAAACTTTGAGTAATGAGCTGTATATGAAATAATCACAGGGCAAGTTTTGTCTTGCATTCTGTCTGCAACCACTTTTGCAACAGCAGTGTGTGGATCCAAAATATACCCTGAAGTATTGTAGGTGGATCTAATAGCTTCTAGGCACTCTTCCTCAGAGCACCAGTCAGCTACAAAATCCTGCTGAAGTTTCTCAACTAGAATCTTTTCTATTTGGAAGTGATGCTGATTTTCTAACTGATTAAATAATTTTGTCATTAATTGTCCATCTTTATTAGCCACCAAGTATAAGTGCCGCTCCAGGTTTGAAGGTTTGAGAATATCTATTGATGGCGAAAAGGTTTGTGCTAATTTCCTTTCCCTTAGATCATAATGTCCTGTTTTTATAAAATCAGTCAAAACATGGTTCTGATTAGAGGCACAGATAAATTTTCGAATAGGGATCCCCATCATTTTGGCATATACTGCTGCTAATATGTTACCAAAGTTTCCTGTGGGAATACAAACATCTACTGGGCTTCCAAAAGAAATAAATCCTTGGCTAACAAGATCAAGATATGCGGAAGCATGATAAACTACCTGGGGAAGCAATCGGCCCCAGTTTATGGAATTAGCTGAACTTAAGATTGTTCCATATTCCACAGTGAGAAAGCCAGTAAAATCAGAATCTTTAAAAATTCTTTTTACAGCTGTCTGGCAAAAATCAAAATCTGACTCAACACCCACTACCCATCCATTTTCTCTCTGACTACCAACTATTTGTGCTTTTTGAAAATCACTAACTCCATTCTCAGGAAAAAATGTGACCACACCTATTCTTTGTTTGTCATTCTTATTGAGACGACTAAAACCATTTAAGACTGCACTCCCTGTGTCTCCAGAAGTAGCTACAAGTATCATATAATTGCAGTTTGGTGGGATACAGTGTGCAAAAATATGAGGCATAAGCTGTAAAGACAAATCTTTAAATGATCCTGTTGGTCCATGGAACAACTCCAGGATGAACTGGTTACCTGAAAGGTGCCTGACAGGGGCAATTTTTGAGCAGGCAAAGTTCTCCCCATAAGCGGTTTCAATCATTTCTCCCAGCCTGGCAGCAGGTATGTCTGCAGGATGTATACACCTTTCCAAAAGTATTTGTGCTTTTTCTATGTAGGTTGCTCCTACTAGGCTTTTCCACTCTCCACAGTTGAATTTTGGGAACTCCTTTTCAGGAACAAAGAGTCCCCCATCTGAAGCCAACCCCTCAATCACAGCTTCGCTGAAGAATTTTGTTGAAACTTTCTGTTCACACTCCTTAGGGTAAACATGCCTTGTTGAAATGAATGTTTCGGAATCCACATCTTGGTATCTTTTGACTGCATCCAACACTTTGTCAGCTATCTTCTCCGGGGAAGTCCCACTTTCGCAAAACACTCGGGCATCATACCATTTCTTATAATACTGTCTTCTAAATTTAAGCAAGTCTTTCATAGGTGTTCCAAAATTCTGACCTACAATCCTATCTATCTTCATGGATTGTAGACGACTAATTATATCTGTAAGAGGTACATCGAGGTATATAATGATTCCATTTTTCTTCAGATGCCACATGCTAGCATCATGCATGGGATTGGACCCAGTAAGGGAAATCACACTTCCAGATGCAGACAAGTTTAACACAGCTTTTCCTTCCTCTTCTAAAAACTGCTCATTACCAACATCCTGCAATTTTTCAGACACACTCATATTCCAGGTTTTTTCCAGTATATCATCATCCACATCTATGACACAACAACCTAGTTTCTGACCTATTATTCTGCCTATGGTTGTTTTCCCAGCGCCAGGAGGGCCCATCAGGATAATATTTTTGTCTCCAATAAGAGAGTATGTTGAATGCCATGACTTCCTTAATTCTGCAAGTGCAAAGATTCTTGAAAAAAACAGCTGTGCATGTTTATCCGTTTTAACATGAATACTAGAAAAACATTTTACTGTTATCTGTTTCAGGTGTTGATATCTGTTTAAGTGGAGCATTCTCGTTTCACTTTTCTGCCCAAGCCAACCTAAGAACTGGCTTTTGCCTTTTTCAAGACATAAAAACAAAAAAGACATTTGGTTACTTATTTCAACAAACTTAAAATCCTGATAGGATTGACTATAGTATGATCTCAATATACAAAATGCTTTAAAGTCTTTCAAATTTATGGACACTTAAAAAGTATTATAACCTAAATTCCCATATATTGCATATTACTCTTTTTAGTAAGATCTTTTTTATTATAATTATTAACACAAATTATATAAATCACCGGGCTTCACTGTGGTATTTCCATATATGTATATATATCTAGCTTTAATCACATCCACCTTTCCTGCTCCTACATCCTCCTGCTTCCCCCATACCTCTCCCAATAACTAATAATCCCTCTTCTACTTTCAGGTCTTTCTTTAGTTTCCATGTATGAAAGAAAATATGCAGTACTTGTTAGTCATATCTTTTCAAATTTCAAGACACTGAAAAATCAAAACTTTAAAAAATATATCTGATTCCCACCACCATAAAAAGTAACTATAAACAACAGAAACCTTATTCAAAAAATGTCATATCATAGATGCTTTAAAATAGATATATATTAGTATTTATGTATATACCAAGTCCAATTAATATTCTTTTCCTTTCATGCAATATTGTAATAAAATTGTTTTGTGATTTATTAGTTTGTAACAGATACCAAGTATTGAGGCTTGAAGGGTTAATTAATTAGTTGGAATTCATGAAAGGTAAACAATATATGAAACACTTGTTTATCTTCAGTTGTACAAGCACGTTGATACACCATCATGTTACTTATTAATTTCTTTAAAGAATTCACAACAGGAAACTAGAACAAACAGGAAACTAGAACAAAAGAACATACTTGCTTATAAAGTGCTTAAATAATTTTCTAAATGACAGAACACAGGTATGGCATTTTCTTTCCTATGTGCCTTTCACATACATACTGTTAAGAAGCATGTTTAGATATCATTCATACTCAAGGCCTTAAAAAGCCAAAGTGACAAGTATAATATCATTTCAGTATCCTGAAGAAACATTAATCACAATAAGGTCAACGGTTTTATGTATAACCTCATTTGCTTGAGCCCATAAATATTGTTTCTGTTCCTATAAACATCAGTGGTGAGACTTAACTCAAATTCCAGACTCCAGAGAGATAGCCAAGACACTCAGGAAGGTTTCCAATGATGAAAGGAAAAATTGTTCTGGCATCCAAAGATGCTCTTCAATTCTTCCATAATGATTAAGCCTGTTTTTGGAAATATACTCACCAAAACAAAAGGTATGCCAGGCAAGCCAAATTTTTTGTCATGTGAAATAGTCTAATAATTGCTACAATATTCATTTAAACTGACTGAAGTAACTTTAAAGACACATAGGGAGGCTTTTCTCACATTCTCTGATAGAATTAATATGCAACTAAACTATGTGAAACACTACATGTTTTATTTCAATATGTTCTGAAAATTTCCAATCATATACTATTGATTATCCATGATACTTAAACTGTTTTGTAATTAAACATTTAAACCATTTTAAGCTAACACTGATTTTCACTTACAATTAAACTTAGAACTGTCAAGGGAAGGAATTCATTTCCTTATTTGACTTCTCAGCTTGTATGTAGTGTGCTTAACTCCACTGATTTGCAAACACAGGATACACAGGAACTAATCTTAGATGAAGATGTTGATTCTGAGGCAAAGTCGATCTTTGCAAAAAGTAGAACCTATAGTGGAAAAAATTCTAGTTAATCTAACTGTATATAGTATCATAAATTCTATACATAAAATAATCTATTATTAAAAATCCATCTGAAATCTTAAAGGAAAAATAATCCTTTCGTGTTTCCCCAAATCCATTATTAAAAGATTAACACTGGGTTTTGCTTTTCAACATATATCTTATCACAAAAAAGTATTTTAGTAAACAGTTCTGAAGGCATTCTACCATTAAACAATAAAAACCTAACAAGTAGCCTAATAAAACAAATATAAAATTGTTCACAATGATACCCGAATTTAACAAGTTAACTGTATGTTTAATGAGCAGAGGGAAAAAGGTCAATGGACTAAAGCTCTGAAATGAGTGTCTGTGTTGTTCTTTCAGGTTGCCTCATCCATCGAAATCACTACATGATTTGTATATAACATCATCTACTATAAAAAGCTCAAATAAAGCTTTGCCACATACAGGTAACCCTTTGCTATTGCAATGGATCTGTGATAAATTCAAAGCACATATCAGAGTGGCTAAGCATCTAAGAATATTTCTACAAAGCAATATTAATCATTGCCACTATATGACAAGAACATATGAATTAAATAAGAATATCCAGACACAAAGCTAAGTATATTTTTTATGGTTTGGTTTCTTCATAAATCTCCAGAAGAAATATTTTGCTATGCAGTCTGACACTTTCCCTGATGTAAACCAAAGACCAGAGAGAATTGTAACTTGAACCATATCAGCAATTTACTCTATTAAACTGTATTCTGGCACTGTATAAAATAGTCAAGTTAACCACCTATTCAGGAGGCTTTTACTTATAACATTAGAGTGGCTTGAGTTTGCAGTCTATAACTTTCTTTCTGATTTCTGTATCAGTAATAATGGTACGTTATCTGAGTAGGTTTGTTTTTCTGGACACTGAATCTTTCTTCTCTCTTTCACTTTATGTTGATCGCTACAATGCTGAACATCAACTCTGTTAAGAGTAGAAGACTTTAAGGAAAATGTGTTTATCTTTTGGAATCTTCCTATTTCCCCCCTGCATTCTCAATTTAAATTTTACCTCATTTCCATTTTCCAAAACACTTTGAGAGAGCAAAATAGATATTAAATAAAAAGAGAAAATGACAGTTCAATTTATAAATTGTGTATCAACAATTATTTTACCACAAAAATTTTCCTTGGACCAGCAGAAGGTAATTAAATGCTATAACATGTAACAAATAATATCATTTCTAAAGAAAAATAAAGACAGTCTTTTTTAAGCTAGTTACATTTTATTTTGTAATGTTTAGTCAGTGATTAATTTTAGAGCCTTGTTGCCTAACTGTTTTAAGTTAACCAAAAAACAAAAGAAAATGGAATAGGGCCTGGCAGGGAACATTTATCTGTACATTGAGTTTTTACTTATAAACTGTTGATTCTTATTCATGGTAATTATGTCTCATAAAGTCCCCACTATCAGTGAATTAGTGAACATTGAACCATTATACCTAGGGGAAATGCAGCACGTGCCTATGAGCCTCTAGTCACAAATTTTTCCCAACTGATCAACATATAACCTTGTTTTCTGTTTAAAGGCCTCTTATGTATACTGTTTGTTCATTACCATGAACTCATAGCCAACAGCACTATAACTCATGCCTGAATGAAGTTCATATAACATACCCATTTTCTCTATAAAGCACATCACAATATTTTTGCACTTGGGACACTACACAGCACTTCATCACTCAGCTTAGGGACCATTTAAAAAAATCAAACTCAACCACTAAAAGCACAAAAATGTGGTACTAAGTCAAAGGTGAAGAGGAAATTTGTTTATAGAATTAGAGCTGAAACCAGAAGGCAGAGTATCACATCGTTTGACTTCAGCAGGGCAATTCAAATTTTTCACTGCTATGCGCATGTCCATGAATGGCTGTAAAAGTGCTGCCAAGTATTTATTTGGGGTTTACAAACACATTTTAGTAAGCAGGCAATCTCAACTATGGAATCTGTGAATACTGAGTATCAATTACTCATTTCCCTTTTATTCAAATCTATCTTATTAAGCCTTTTTAAATATCAGTATTTTAATATGTCCTTCAGTACACTGGTCACAAATAGGCAATTTTTCTTCAGCTAAAGGACAAAACTATTTCACATGAAATGGAAATAAATCATGTAAGACTCAGAAACAAAAACTACTGAAAGACAAAAATCTTAACCATATGGTAATGAGGTTTCACTGCATTGCTAATTCTAAATGTACTTTGTAAAGTGAGTTCTCCACAAAAACATTTTAGTTATACTAACTCTGCAGAAGGTGCAAGATCCATACAACTCCACTGCACATTGCTTTTTGGTTTTGTTTTGTTTTTTCTTCACTGTTGGGAATTGAACTTATGGCCTTAAGCAAGCCAGGCAAGTGCTTTACCACTGAGCTACATCCATCCCCTCACATAATTTCTATATAGATTTCTCTTCTGATTACTTCCTGTACTGAAGCTTTTTCACCCACTAATTCCAAATGATTCTTTTTTAGACACTGGCCATTCAAACAGATAAATAAAAAGGTAATAGTGTGTCAGTATCACAGCTAGAACTTAAAGAAAAAAGTCCTTTAGTATGTAAATTCAAATATCGTGTGACCCCAGGAACAATATTTGACAATTTTAGTGTTTCAAGCTGTTCAAAACTTAAAGTACAGAAATCACTTTAGATTTTTCCCTGCAAATACTAATACAGCTACACTTTTCAATGCAGAATACATATAAATTTCCAGCATCTTCTTTACAACAATGTTTTCTTAGATTTAGCATTAGATGAAATTGACTAAAATTACACTCTAGCACTAACAATTTTTATTTGTAAAATGATTCAAAAGAATTTTTCAAATTATTATAAAGTTATCTAATTTCCAAATTTGAGAAATCCTCAAAAACCTGATTTAGCATTTGCCACCAATTTAAAATGTTTGTTATTTATATGCATTTCTAAAACAAAATGTAAGACATAACATTTCAGATTATTTAAAACCAGGCATGGTGTTACATGCCTATAATCTCAGGTGGCTAAGAAAGGAGGATGGAGAGATCAAAGAGAACCTAGGCTGCACAGGAAGTCTGAGGCCAGCTTGATTGTAGCTCATAGGTAGCATACTTGCTAGTGCGCATATAGCCCTGGCTTTGATTTCCAGGACCAAGACAAACAAAAAAATCTGTTTAATGATGAGAAATGGCTATAGGTCAATGAATTTCTAAAAACAACTGTCATGATTATGCTCATCAGCCTGTATTATTAAAATAATCTCATTTTAACTTTCTAAGGAAAAGGGTTGTCTAGATCTAGTTCATTATCTTATTTTTTAAAAAGCCATCCTGGAGTTTAAGAATATCTTTAAAATTACCGTGCTTTTACATCAATAATTGCTTTTCAATAATAAGAAAAATTGCAAATACTAGCCAAGGGTTAGTGAAACTATGCTGCTTTTGACTACTGATCCCAAATCCTCTCTACAACACCTTCAGTCACCTACTTTGTAGGAAATAGATAAGGGAGGACAAGATGACCATATTCTCTACCGCCATGCTGAAATCACAAGGATCTATGACCAAAAGCATAATTTTATAAGCTCATCACTTATCCTTTTCTTTATATTACTATCAAAACTAAATTCTTCTTGTTGTTAGTGGTGTGCTGTTACATACCCCAATGGTCTCAAGTATTTAATTGAAGACTTCTCAATTCTGTAACTTCACAAAATATTTTAAAAAGGCACTCCTGCTGTGGCATGGCTCAAGTGGTGGAGCACATGCCTAGCAAATGCAATACCCTGAATTCAAACCCCAATACTGACAAAAAAGAAAAAAGAAAATTAAGCCATCATGGTGGCTCATACCTATAATTCAAGGCTAGTCTAGACAAAAAGTTAGTGAGGTTTCATATCACTAACAAGAAGGCATGGTGGTACATGCCTGTGGCCCCAGGTCTGTCTGTAATTGTTTCTGTGAAACACCACTTCCCTCATCTCTTTGCTCATTCCTTTGTTCACTTGTGTAGGATTACCTTGGCTGCACAAATACTGCCATCACTGAAAGTGTTTTATTTCAATAACCCCAGGAAATCAAGGCTACCTAAGTAACTAAGACCACTTGGTGCTAACTGGAGAAACTGTGCTCTGCCTTTACTGGCTTTTCCAGAACTGACTGACATGGACAGTCCCCAACGGTTCATTCTTTTACAAAATTTATAAGCCTTGGTTGGGGCTGGGATGTGGCTCAGTGGCAGAGCACTCGGTGTACTTTGGTTTGAACCCCAGTACTGAAAAAGAAAATTACAAGCCTTGACTAGTAACTATCCAGTTGGTTAATGGTATTTCCATTCTATGAATGCTTAACTCAAATTTTAGCATGTACAGAACAGTTCTCTCAATTAATTTTCCTCTATATATGCTAAGCAAAATTTAAATGAATGAATAAAATACTCAAAGGGAAAAGAAAGGGGCAAAATGGTATACGCAGATCTAAACTGACAGCCAATCTATCTAAAATGTTTGGATAGAAACTTAGCGCAGTCTGAAAAAATCAGAAATCATACCCCAAAGTTAGTTGTCTGAAATGTTGTTAACTGCCTGGAGTAAAAATTAAAATCTGATCCAAGTTGGTAACCAAAAACTAAATTTATTCTTATCCAATAAACTCAGTAAGAGCCCCCAAATAAGGGTCTACACCTTTAGCAAAGTCTTCTTTGCTTTTTTAAGCACCAAAAAGCTCACCAAGCCACCATGCTGTCGATTCACCAGGCTAGCAGCAGGAACCCCAAATTTCATGTCGTCCCTTATCTATGGGCACGCTATTTCCTGAACAGAGAAGCCTCTGTAAGTTTTCAAAGCCATCTATCTTCCTTCCAAATCATAAAACAAAATGTCATTTAGAGACTCAGCTAAAGGCTTCTACCTAAGTTTCCTTCCCTCCATGTGCAAAAGACCAAATGGCTCAAAAACGGAAGAAAACTGTTTTTTCAGGAAGAAAAATTTCAAGAAAGGACACCAAACATGAGCGAAATTAAAGAGCCCGTCTAAACGTTTCTGGTCCTAGTTCAGACTGCTGGTCCGCAGTAGGGTGTTGGGAAGGAGGAAGACCCGAGGAGTCGCGGGGCACCGAGACAGGATGGCAGCCTGCAGGGCAGGGACGCGCAGGCGCGACAGGTGGATGGCGGGCCGCGGACGCGCACTCACACAGGTGCGGCTACCTTATGCGAGGGACAGATCGGGTCCTGGGGAGCCCGGACAGAAGCAACAGAAAAAAAATGAGCGCAGACATAGTTGAAACCCACCGAGTAGCAGAAGGAATGATGGGGACAGGAGGCATGCGAGGGAACGGATTGCCTCTGCTTTTCCTTTCTTTTTCTCCAATAACTCACCAAGAAAATCACACTGAGAAGACTGGGGAAAGGAAAGAATAGGAAGAAGCGTCCAAAGCCACCAATGCCACCTCGAAGGCTGAGCCCACCTTCCGAGTATCACCCCCTGCCCCGCCTAACTCCGAACCGCGGCCTCTGCGCATGCGCAGGCCTGCGCGCGTGCGCGCCAACTTCCCGCTCAGAGCACGTGACCTGCCCGCGCTCCGCCCTGAAATCTCGGGCTCCTCCCCTTCCTCGTCGGGTTTGGAACTTTGACCATGCGTCAGCGTGGCCTCAGCCCTCGCCCCGCCCCCGCCGGCATTGGAGCCTGCGCACTGGTGTCTTACCGTGTGACGCCTGCGCACTAACTGCGCTTCCTATTGTAGAATTTTTCTTTTTCTCCAAATACCGGAAAAAAATGTTTTCGGGACCCTATTTTTTATCTCTTTTTCCCCAAAGGCACAAAGGCTTCTATATAAATTTCTCAGGCCGAGAATAAAGAGAAAACTGGATTGCAACGCTGCCTCCACTTCCCCGTTGCCTAGTAACGGTTTCCGCGACAACCACGCGGTCAACAACGCTAAGCAATCTCAGGAGGAGTAGAAGGGGTATTTTCTTCTGGAGAGTGCTGCCGCTAAGAAAGGGGCCGAAGGGGGGATTATGTCAAAGAGACAAACTTGAGTTCCTTGGCGAGGCAAGGGAGCAAGAAAGGAAGGACGGGAATACTAGTATAGCAAGAAAAAAGTTGAGGATAGTAGTTTTTAAAGGAGTCATTTTGTGGCCATGGATCCAACGTGCTTTTCTGAGAGCATTTATAACCTCATACCAAGTGACTTGAAGGAGCCTCCCCAGCCTCCTAGGTATGTGGGAATGCAAAGATTATCGCTTATAATTCGATAAAACTAGAATGGAGAATGATGATTCCACTTGAAACAAAGGGAAAAAATATTCCATTTCAGGACTAAGCATAAATCTTAGGATTTTAAAAGACTAAATAAAATATTTTTGTCTCAGTGAAATAACCTTGGACACAACTTTGTAGAGAAAAGATGAAAAATATCTAGGAGTTTAGCATTTCACAATTCACAGAGAAGGTGGTCCAGGACTCTGACATCAATTTTATTGTTTACACTTTGGCCTCCTATTAATACGCTATGTAATTAGTTTCTGATTTATCTATTGTTCGTACATGATGTGCATATAACATAGTGTGAAATATTGTTAGTGTGAAAAAGAGAAATCACAACTTTGTCGTCCTGTTGGGATATTGTGATTTCGTTTTTGGAACTTGGATTTGAATTGCATTACTGACGACCTTTCTCCCTCCCTCAAGTTATTAGTCAATGTATTAATTCCCATTTGTTTCTGAGCGTCACGATTGGTTAAGCAGCGTACATGACTAGGTAGTGGTTTCTAAGGTCTCTTTTCTATCTTTAATGGCTAAAGGAAGGGTAAAATGGTTGGATAGTAGACCCAAAATATTAATTAAGTTAAAATTTTACATAGCTGTTAGGAATGCCTAATATTCTCCAAATGCCAAAAAGATACCACAAAGTAAAGTTAACTCTACTTACTCCTGTGTAGGTAACTTTCTTAGAACTTATTTAAACTATGGGGAGAAAAGAAGGTACTAGTGGGAAAAAATACCTTTCGTCCTTTAGGACTTAAAATTTCTTGTTATTTACATTTCTCATTTTTCCTTATTAAGTCAAACCACTTAAAAAGAGCCTTGGCTTAAAAGTCAGGTTCCAAAACTAATTGTTTTTGGAGGTCTTAATGAATTTCATTAGTGTTCTGATCTGTAGAAGCTATTAGGCAGTTAGACAATCTCTAAGGCTCCAAATCAATTCAATCAAGTCACTTGTTTACTAATAATTCTTAACAACAAATGATCAACTCCTTTCATTTTAAGCCTAAGTGAATATCAAGTTTTAAACAGCATGA